TATAAACTACATAGCCCAATAGAAAATCTTATGTCATACTAATTTCATGACAAATTTACTTAAACAAATCAAAACTTTATACGTGGTAGAGCCGCACTGCAGCTATTATGGTTGTAGCATGAAAGGGTCGGCTCGACTGGAGAAGGACCACGCTCTCACAGAATACCAGCATAAAATAGGAGCTTAATGCTGCTGTTTCGTATGGTGAGTGTAGAGAACCGGAGATCCGTTTAACTGGAATCGAGGCATTCCATCTTAGTCCTCGCTCCTCGCGGGTGACAACGCATCTGCATTTTGATTCTTAAGATAGGTTAAATGTAGATGTCTTTGGGCACAGCATCCACTTACCACCAGGTGGACTGTGTGCTCGTTTGTCACCCTTATCCTATAAAAAAATAAACAAAATTGATTAGGTATCAGAATAATATTCCGGCGTAGATCATAGATTCTTTTTATCCAAGTGAGCATTACAAACGAACACATACCTGATAGTTAGCGAATGCTTTGGCGACCCTGAGACCCAATGAAATGACTGATGAATGATGAGAAAAGAAGGTCACTGGTTCTCATCACGTATCATGTGAAACACAGCAGTTGCTATTTTACGCAGGAATTCTAGTCATAATTAGGGCTGCCAGCTGTTTTTTGAACAAATATAGTATTTTTCCCAAAAATGATGCAAAAATATAGTACTTTTAAGAAATTCAGGAAAAAAAGTACACATTTATTTTTTAATGTTTATGTATTTTTCCAATGTATATTTATTATTGCTCTTTACTTTGGCCATCAATGATCTTTAAAACCTTTAAAATAATTATAGGAGTCTTAAGTAATTTTGATTCAAATTAAAGTTAATTAACAATTAATTTTTGATTAAATTTATACATGTTTTATTTATTTCTTCTTTCAATTTTATATTCCTGACGGAAAAAATTCTTTCCGTAAAACTTACTTGTCGCAGACTTCCAATCACATTTAATATAAAAAAGCGCGACAGTGGAATTAGGAATAACAAATATAGTATTGTTCGTATTGTATTATTTTTGTACAGTATATAGTACAATTGAGTGAAATATGGTACGATAATAAAGTACGGACGGCAACCCTAAGCGTGACTCTATCATGGAGTTTTGAGGGGTACTTGACCGCACGGATTATTGCTCGTGTATTATTGTTCAAGTAATACCTATTTTGAAGTAGAGATAACGTGTCCGCTTAGGCGCCTTGAGATACTACATATTATCATCCGCTGTCTGCTGGCTCAAGCTGCCGTTAAAATCTTCTAAAAACCTCGCAATGTAACGCATAAACATATTGTGTAGAAATATTCAAATATTATTAAAAGGATAATTTCGTATTAATTGTCGCTGGCAAAAGTAAAGTCGTACGAGTTCACTATCAAAGAAAAAACGTAACTAAATCTAGAGGAAACCAAAGAAAATGAATGAGAGCACGAAACTTTTAAAACTTTACATTACATAGGCGACGGGTAGCAGCATTAGAGGTGCGTAAGACGTCTGGTACTCCGATCATCAATCCGCCTGCCAAGCGTGGCAATTATGGCGAATCTTCCGTACAATGGCAGATGCCCATTCCAGCACTGAACATTTCCATTACAGCCGCCTTTAAGAGGATATACTAAGTCAGGTCAAATTCTAATTTCGTCCCCACTTCCCCGCGCGTCGTATGCTATGTACCGACATGTTTGTAATCACTAATACTGTAAGTAGATAGGTCGTTAGACACTTATTTCATTAGGTTTATCATATTTATGCCTGTTTCTTAACGCCAACCCAGTCGCTTCTTATTTTTATTACGGTTATTTCCCATTTTAATTTTACGTCGTCCTGTTGCGTAATGTGTATTCCGCTCGTAAGCGACACAACCTCCCCCTTCAAAGGCCAAAGCGAAACTGACCGGGCGGAAGCAGGAATCAAGCTTCAAGATGCCGATAGTTTAGGTAATATCTTTTTACAGTGAAAATAGTGGTATTTAAAAAAAAGTAAATAACATAAGCACTGCTTTATAGTTAGTTCAGTTACTATGCATGGTTTCATGATCTTATTTAAAGTATTTTATGAATTACAGCGGTTTATTGTTTATTTTGGAGGTAACTTTGGATTTTTTTTCTATCGAGAAAATTTTACGGAATCGTGTTTTCGTCTAACATAGATCCTTAACATTAATCCTCAACTTTACCATATATTTATTTCAAAATTAATGCCGCAATATTTTCGGCATAACGGAGGATCTTGCTAAGCCATTTGAGGTTATATTTCCCCTTAACAGTATACTGCCGCACATAGGCCTCCCCTGTAGATTGCCTCATAGGGTTTGTTTTCGGCTATTGCCATAGTTGCCACACTTGACAGGCTGGTTGGCAACCACAGTTTTTTATAATTTGTAGCTCTCTATCAGGAAGACGCTGCTGCCCAACTCCTGGCTTGTTTCCCTTTGTCACCTCTTACCACACGTGGGTGTCGATGATGGACGATATGAGGTAGTAGATATTCTTGCACCGTCACTAAATGGTCATTGAACGTTTACAGGCCAACAAAGAAAAAAAGAAGGAATAAACGGGATAGTTACGACGTCAGCTATTGAAATACATTAAGATACTTCTGGCATTACACTGTCACCTAATATAACACCTACGGGATGAAATAGAGTGATACATGTTCTTAGGCCGTGAACACACAGCAAATGTCATCATCATAATTTTTATTGTTCCTTAAAAGTGTTTGGCCGTGGAAGCAAAATGGGGGCATCAAAAAGCCCACTCGGGGCAATAAATCAGTCTAGGGTGTCCCTTGTCGTCTCTGCCACTCACTCCATATGGTACAGCTGTTCCGTGGAACTTATCACGATTGGATTTTATGAGTTTTTTCTAATTGCTTTTCTAAAACAAAAATAGCCTAAGTTACTCCTCATAACATCAGCTATCTGCCAGTGAAAGTCCCGTCAAAATAGGTCCAGTCATTTCGGAGATACGCTGGAACAAACACATAGACAGACAGTCCGACAGACAGACAAAAAAATTTAAAATTGTTTTCTTGTTACAAATTCCGTGTTTACTTTCAAATGCATTTAATAAACACATTACATTACAAACAGACCTTTCAATTTTGTTTATTTATATAGACAATCATACAATGTTAATATTATTTATGTTGTGATTTTTATTCTATAACGTACATGCTGATTGCCAATGTCAAGGACCCGGAAAGAGCGTCAGACAAGTGCGGGTTACGATAGCACCCCACAGGAAATTCACAATTTCATACGGATATCTTGTCGATAACTGATATAGCCGTCGTCAGATTCTTGTTGTTTTATCTTTCTAAGATTTATTAAAATAATAAACGATTAGGCTTTTTTCTTGAATCAGCGTCCTTTGCTCGTGTAATTTTATTAAACACTAAAGAGAAAGATTGGCACCAGCATGTTGGCACGCTTGCCAAGCGTGGCAATTATTGCAGGGCTATGTGCTATGAGGCACTAGATGCGGGTGACCTATGTTGACATCGGACTTTCGGTAGGCCTTAAAGAAAGAATATGAAAGTAAGTTTTAGTCCCCACACTGCTCCAGTACCTACACATTCGCATGCCCGCAAAATATTTTATTCCTCAGGTATGCAAGTTTCCTCACAATGTTGCCTCCACTACTGAACGTGTTTTTTTATAGAATAAGGACGACAAACGAGCACACAGTTCACCTGCTGGTAAGTGGATACTGTAGACCATAGACACTAAATTTATATTCTATTACGAATCAATATGCAGATGCGTTGTCTTCCATGAGGATTAATATCCTATAATATCCAGTAAAATGGGTCGCCGGTTCTCTACACTAACTCTCTACACTCTCGACGCACGCATTACGCTGGTACTCTATGAGAGCATGCTCCTAGCTCTGTCGAGACGACCCGTTCGTGTTACAACCATAATATGCTATGCTGCAACACGGCTCTGCCACGTACGTGGTAAATCAGCACATAAAATTGCAATTAACAATTTCATTGGTGACGGTTGCCGCCTGTCTCTTGCGTTCTATGATATTAAACGTAAGGATTTATAGTCTTTGAGTAGTAGTACTTGTATTAATAGTGACGTCTTAGTAGCACCACGGGTGAGCGCATCGTATCTAATTCGAATCCGGTGTATAAATAATAATAGATGAGAATATTATAAATAACAATCATCATCATCATCATTGGAAAAGATGGACCCAAGGAATGCCATAAAGCACGGTCCTGAACCACCTGCATCCATCGACGTCCTGCATGTCTTACCAGAAAGTCACTCCATCTAGTGGGGGGGGGCCGCCCTTCACTTCGCCTACCGGTACGAGGCTGCCACTCGAAAACCTTTTTCCCCCAACGGTTGTGGGTTATATAGCTATATGGCCGGCCCATTGTCACTTCAGCTCACTAATCCGTTGGGCTATGTCGGTCACTCTGGTTCTACTGCGGATATCCTCATTTCTAAGTTTATCACGCAGAGAAACCCCGAGCACAGCCCTCACCATAGCTTGCTAAGCATCCTCATACAGCCAGCGGTGAAAAACCACGTCTAAGATCCATAAGTCATCTCTGGCAACACGCACTGGTTGTACAGTCTCGTTTTGAGGTTTTGGGGCAATAACAATAGGTAATTTGTATGTCCTAGAAATAATTGTTCCGTTTGGGTGTTTGCTCTTGTACATTTTACATAAGGAAATGGTCTCCAGTACAAAAGAGAAAACTTTACTGTAGTAGTAAAGTTTTAAAGAAAATAGAACTTAAAGAAAACGCAGCATTACTAGTTCAAGGATACTGACCTTAACTAACTATTAAGTAATATTTCCAGCTAGCGCAATGGGTATAAGAAAGATTTATCCAGCGGTGGACTTGAAAAGACTGTTGTTAACCAACAGCCCTTTCAAGTCCACCACACCCACACATCAACACATTTATATTAAAAAGTACAATTATACTTGAACGTAAATATATAATACATACCACTTGCTCTTTGGAACTGAACGGCAGCCTTCTGACACTCGGCTCGGGCGACGGCGGCCGCTGCTACTGCCTCGTGATAGGGCCTCGACCTGTCCACGCAGGTGCCCAGCCGCTTGGTCAGCCCTTGCAAACGACGCGAGGTCTCATCCAGCAGCAGGTGGAATGTTTTCATGGATTCCTGATAGTTAATGGTATCGATAAATTGAAGGACCGCTTACTGATGATCACTGTACTGCAGACACAGAGTACCACAGGATTCAAAGCTTTTATAGAACAAAATTTGTTCAATCACCCTTTTCTTCCACGGTCAAAAAGCCATGATAATCAAACTTGTCTTTTTTTATAACTTAAGGATGTCAAACGAGCACACAGTCCACCTGATGGTAAGTGGATGCTGTGGCTAATACACATCTACATCTATCCTCGGCTACGAATCAAAATAAAGATGCGTTGTCACACGTGAGGACTAAGGTGGAATGCCTTGTTTCCAGTAAAAAGGGTCTCCAGTTCTCTATACTTGCCGCACGAAACACAACAGCATTAAGCTACTATTTTACGCTGGTATTCTGTGAGAGCGTGGTCCTTCCCCGGTCGAGACGACCCATTTGTGCTACAACTATACCACTAATATAACTGTAACATGGCTCTACCACGTAAAAATTGCTCGACGTGCCTAATTTTCTTTTAATGTTACACAAAGTACTTTAAGCCCATGGACCTAGAAAAAAGGGCGGACGCCGTCTCTTAAAACAATTACTGACGCACCCATAGTAAGTTAGTTCTCTAATAATAAAAAAAACAAACAAGCCGGCACGCACACATGCACACCATAGTAAGTCTACCGCCCGCCATTACGCTCCAATCCGCGTTCGCGTAGTTACTCACACATAGTTAAACGGCCGCCATTGCGGTGCGTCAATTTTTTCCTTGCCAGACTCTGTCCGCCCTTATTTCTAGGTCCATATTTAAGCCCTAATGTTTTTTTTTATGTTACACAGAGGACTTTCGGAGCCGTGATAGTTCCAGGGCTAAGCGCTCGCTGTAAATTACAGTGTATAAACAATCAATTGATAAATATGAATGTATTTAGAGTTAGTTGCCGTAACAGTAACGCTATGAAACGATATAGTAGCGGTGTGACTAAGGATTCTATAAAAGCTTGGTATTTTTATTGACAAAGCCATTTTCGTCCCACAGTCGCGGTGCAGTGATAAATAAATTAATAAAACACAATTTAATTTTTTTATTTATAAATCTGCTTATCGCTAGCAATTCCTCAAATAGATGACATTGACAACGAAGAGGCCGCAGCACTACCAAACGGCGTCACAGCAGCGGAACGGGTACCGATAAACCGTTTCCGCCATTTGTTGAAAACCTTAGCGACAGATGTTTCATTAAGTTTTGACTAGGGTTGGCACCTTACTTATGTACTCGTATAGGTACTCGTAATGTTGGAATACCTTCAATTTCGTTATAATAATATAAAAGACAAATAACGTCAATTTGGTTTGTTATAGTGTTAATAGTTGACTCTCTGCTCGATATTTTCTCCTACAACTTATATTATTCGTTCATTTATTACATATCTATTTAAATAAACATAGGCCTTCCTTTGCCACATGAGGGGTATATTTGCTACGATTGGTGGAAAGGTTGAGAACCTCAATTTAATATTTTCTAGTACTTAGTTATTATGAAGACGCTGCTGTCTCATTCCATCTCCTCCTAGTTTCTTTCACTGTTCCTAGTTACAAAACTAGTTAAACTAGTTTGTTTTATGACACCCACGGGACGAAATGGGGTAATGGATATTCTTGCACGGTCACTACATGGTCACATATATTATAGGCGATTATTAATCTGTTAGCTGCCGTTTCAGTCACTATATACGGGGTATTGCATACATAAAAATGACTGACGACAGTGCAAGTACAGTATAAGTATAATAGGAAACTTAAGCAAATATTGGGAAGACCCATGTCCAGCTGAGGGTGTGAGGGAGGGTGATTATTGAAGAAGATGGTTAACTCATGTACATAATAAATATTATATGTGAGCTCGATTTTTGGCGTCAATACGTATACGTATGAACGAATCCAGTGTCTGAGGTTGCATATTTTCTTTCTTCAAATTCAAACTAGTCGATATTCGTTTGTAGGCATGAGTGCTCATGGCTCAGCAGCCCTATCTATAGTTTTGCACCTGTTATTCCAGTTAACGTGGCGTGAATCAAAAGCGTGCTTCTAAGGGGGTTATTATTACGCTAAAACTTTTATTCATTACTATACGACCCGCCCTGGATTCGGTAGGATCTATTAATGTAGAAATTTGTAAAATATAGCCCAAATTACCCCTGGCCTTCCTCTCTATATGCTTGTGAAGTTTCATTACAAAAGGTTCAGTCGTTTCGAAGATTAGTGCGAACACACAGACAGATAGACAAAAATTTTATAAATGGTCATGTCTAAATAGCGTTTGAACAACACACTGAGCTTAATACAAGCTAGTATTAAATTAACAACATTTGTTTGCCTGGCTCGGCAATGTAGGTTACTTTTGATTCAATTTATCATATGAAGTACAAATTCTTTTGTTGAAGGAATGTACTATCAAATTTTATCTACTATGGAACTGAAATGTTCATCTCGTTATTTAGGGGATTCCCTTGAGTGAAGCGAGTACATATAAGATTAAGGAGGTCCAGGAGGATTATGAACCACAGTAAAATGGCTCAAGAGAAAATTCATAATATTATAGTTCGGCCGTTCAGAGAATGCGTTCCTGACACGTCGCGATTGAACTGACGACGTAACTTTGTAATGGCGTAGCAGTTACGATAAAAATATTTTTGCTGGTTGTTTACCGTTTTAACAATTGATGAGCATTAAAACAACATTATTACATCAATAATCAATGAATGTTATAATTTTGTGCCAAACTGAGTGTTAACTTGGTAAACATTATATTTGTCTAAATCTATACTGCGCTATTACAAGGTTATGTCAGCGCTTTATATTTGTAGTGCTGTGCTAACAATAACAGGCAATAACAGTATCGTAATCTGTTCTCATACAGTTATACTTTATAAAATAATACGTTTTGTTTTTCTTTTTAAGAATTTGAAAGTAATGGACTATAAGATAACTTTTATTGAATATAATAATAAAACTACGACCAAACCGAACGTAGCATTTTTATATTTAGGTTGAAAATGGTAACCCCGAATGGCATTATGGGCCGCCATTTTGTGACGCTAAAACAGTCGTCTGTTGTCGTTTCGTGCGCATAGACCACGTTCTTCAAGTGTTTTCGATCTGTTTTTATTTGATTTTTAATGGACTGTTTCTGCTTTTCAAACTGACATCGGCGCTAAATCGGACTTCGATTATGTTTTGTATTGCGTTCTTTTTACTTTTGGTGCATAATAATGCCTAAACGTGGACAAACATTGAAAAGTGGAGCTCGTGAGTTAATCATCAAGCTGCAAGATTATTTTGAACGGGAGCGGCAAAATGGCGGACCCCTGTTACCTGTCGAACAAGTACAAGAACGTATCTCTCAGGCGCTTGGAGTTAGCAAACGAACGATAACAAATATTAATAAAGAAAAGTTCAGCTCTACTGGCAAGGAATATAATATTTTACGTACTCCGAAGAAGAAACGTAGAACTAAACCCGTGACAGATATTGACACCTTTGACGCCGATGCAATCAGAAATCATATATATGGTTACTATTCCAGAAATGAATATCTCAACAGGAAGAAGCTTTTGGCATCGTTAAGAGAAGCTGGACTGTTTAGCGGGGGTAAAACCTATATTAAGTCATTTTTTAGGCTAAGACTAATATTTTTGTCTACATATATGGAAAAATATATAAGCATCTAAAAACCACAGCAGATACTGTGAGTTTTCAATAGTATATGATAAAATTATATGGATAGGGGGCCGTGCTAAAAAAAATTAATTCACGTTACATACATTATTTTTGCCAAAGGTTATTTTATTGTAATGTTGGGTTTTGGACGTGTATCTTTTGTCTGTCTTCAATATTATATCATGGAATTTTTTTGACTACGCCCCCTGTTCATATAATTTTATCATTTGTTATTACAACTCACAATTATCTGCTGCGGTTTTTATTTTGTTAACGGAGTTTATATACGTACACACATTTCATAAGCAAAGATTTTTAATATCACAAGCCAAATGGAAGCCGTGCTGAAGCGTTTGGCTGGCACCTTTGGATACATTTTTCTCCAAAAACGTAGTTATATTAAAAAAGAATGCGGCACAAATACCCCTAGAAAGGCATACATTGAATTATGGCACACTGCAAATGCCAATTCGAGGTGGCCGAGCCAGGCAATATAGTTGATTTATCAATAATAAAATGACAATTGAATATCGTACGTATATATTATGTACCTACATTAATCAATTATCATCCAACTAGCACCCTCTGTAGATGTTACAATTAATTAACTCGCATTCATTTCTATTCCTTTATAGGTCAATAGATTGCTAATTTATGGATTTTTAATAGGACATGACAAAGGGTCGTCGAAAAGGGCAGAACAACTTCTGCCTGGCAAGCTAATATAAAAAAAAATATATATATATATATATATATATATATATATGAATGTATGTATGTTCTTACCAGTTCGTCACTTCATCCGAGGGTCGCTCTACGCTTTGCCTACCGGTACAAGGCTGCCTGCCACTCGAGAACCTTTTTTCCCCCACGGTTGTGGGTTCTTCGAGCTATATGGCCGGCCCATTGCCACTTCAGCTTACTAATCCATTGGGCTATGTCGGTCACTCTGGTTCTACTGCGGATATCCTCATTTCTAAGTTTATAACGCAGAGAAACCCCGAGCATAGCCCTCTCCATAGCTCGCTGAGCGACTATGAGCGTCTTCATACGGCCAGCAGTGAAGGACCACGTCTCAGTTCCATATGTCATCACTGGCAACACGCACTGGTTGTACAATTTCGTTTTCAGGTTTTGAGGTATACCTGACGAGAAGATGTTACGTAATTTCCCGAACGCTGCCCAGCCGAGTTGAATCCGTGGATTGACCTCTCGGTCGAAGCTGGACTTACCTAGTCCGACTATTTGTCCCAGGTAAACGTACTCGTCAACAACTTAGAGCTTAGTGCTCCCAACAACT